CTTATCGAGTTATTTTTCTCGTTTGCCGCCTCGAGATAAAATTGATCGGTGTCGCAAGCCTCAGGTTGAGTTATACGTGCTATGCGGACCGAAGGCGACATGACGATGATGATGCGGCGGCGATATTGGGGGCGGACAGTCACAGTGTCTCCCGCATAGACCGATGGCGGTTTGTAGCGATGCCGACGATGAACCCAATGTGAATGATGAGGCAGCTGAGACCCGACAACCGCTACGAGTAGTGACTCCTTCTGCACACCAGTCTTGTTCTTTCCCAGTCTGCGTAGGAGTCAGGCGTTCACCATGGAGACCTCTCCGTCGAAATTGCGGCATATTTTGGCAGCCGTCTCTGTCCATCTTTCAGTCATTCAACTCGTCCAAATGACCTCCCGCCAACCAGCCGAAATGCACGGCTTCGTCAACCGCAGTTTCGTCATTGCCTCCTCTCCTGGACTTCGGGCCACAAATATCGAGTCTCGGCAGCGGGCAGTTACAGATGCACCCCCGTAAAGCGTTGCACTTCAACGGCAGTTCACACTGGTTCATGACTGCAATGCGCTAGATCTGCATCAGTCCTTAGCTCTAGTCGTGCGCGCAGGTCAACTCAGGTTACCAGCGTAGGGAACAGGCTGAGAGACCGTTACCGAGGTCATCTTCTCCAAGGAAGTTCGGTGCAATCCCCACCGAGACCTTCACGACACATTCGGGTTAGTCGCGGTACGCTGAGAACACGACTCGTTACTTCCATGGAGCGTGAGGCACATTGCAGTCGTGTATGGCAGGCGTCTGATGGCGACCTCTTCGGCTAGTCAGCTGCTCCGCCTAATTTACTCCAAACTGGAGTTGACTGGGGCAGATCGACCACATATTACAGAGAAAAAGTTCAGATACGACGCCCTGACATAGATCCAGCACTGGTTTTTCATATCACAGGTGATATACTGTTCAATCTTTCTACCAGAACGCACAGACGGTAGGGATTGTTAAGATCATTGCCCGACAGGGCAACTCGCTCTTACTAAAAGTCGAGAGTTAGCTTCCCCATTTTTATTTACTACGGTCTTTGCAACACCTCTCCTGAATAATGGCTCTTGGGTTGCGTAGACATTAAGTCTCGGATTCGCAAAAGAGAAAGTTTCGGGATAAAAAAAGTTATGCTACTCACCGGAAAAGGTTTGGATTCTCGCCGACTTTTCGCAAAGCTTGGTTGGCTGTCCATTCACAAAGCGTCTACTATCAATATCGAAGAGACTTTGAAGGCCGACTGGATGAGCGACGGGCAGTAAAGCGAGATAGCTGTACTTTCAGAGAAGCCACCTCATCCGCCAAAGCGAAAACTTGCTGCACCAGGTGCTTTTTTACTGACGAAGAGGGTGTAGAGATCTGGGGCAATGCGGGGCGGCTGGAACCGTTCTACTTGAATCATCCGGCCCACCAGCTGCGAGACCGTAAGACCTTCGGACCCCGACTCATGCCTGATACACAATCGCGCTGGGCTTGCTGGCATCCATTATCGTTTCACTTTTATTAAGTATTATTACTTTGCCTCTTTTCTGTATTGCGTTGTCCTAGTTTGGGATAGCATTCACGAAAATTATTTAGTTTATTCAGTTGGACGTCATTTTACGTCATAGTAACCGCCTTTCAAAAAGAGGTGATGTGACAATACATCCATCGACAGGGGGTGGGGCTGCAATGGCGAGCATTTTATGGGACAGCCAAACTAGGACACGATAAAAACCTGCGTAAACCTAAAGGGAACCTTCGGTGTATCAACTACGAAACTTGGGTCCGGGTATGTTGACAGTTTAACCGTCGATTTCTACGACGTCCACCACGAGCTTCAACAACCTGAGGGCCAAAGTGGTAACTGGTAGTGGATCATAGTGGTAGAAGACTCGCGCAGAATCTACCTCACTCTTTCCCGACTCCCGCACCTGTACCCGGTGCCAAGACAAGAGTCGAGAAGACCAGAGGTGGAGGAGGACGCAGATGGCTGGTGCGGCCGCCACTCGAATGCGTGCCACAACAAGACACTTTGCTAGGCCCCCGCTCACGCAGGATTGCCATAAAGGCCAGTTAGTCACTCCACGCAGCAAGACACACACTGGACTGACTGCGCCGTCCGAGTTATCCCATCAGTTGGCAACCCTCCAAGAGGCGGCTTTTGGCGCACCGCGATAGGTTGAAGCGCATCAGATTATTTATAGTGAGGAAAGAAATGTGCTGAGTGTCGACCTTACTATCTCCTCCACCGCCAGCGTCAAGCCACCGCCTAGCTTATCGGCCGCCTGATGTGTAGCCGTACCACAAGCCCTAACACTAGTTATAACTTTCACTTTACCCTAACAATAACACAAACTTCCCGGAAATTTAGCATAATACCGCCTGTATTTCGGGCGGTTAATGTTCCCCTACCGTGCAAACTGCAACCCCCCATACCTGCAACCTCCATCCGTCAGTCTCCTCCTCACCCAAACACATACATTTAATAATAGCTGTCACGTTTACGAAGGCGAGAGTCCCGAAGTGCTAATATGGGGGACTGAAATTGCTTATTGGAATAAATTTGTCCCATTAGGAACTTTTCGAAGAATTTGGTCGGTTCTCCATTGTCAGTGCGTTTGATGCAGAAAATTGCTCAGACTCTTTAATGACTGGCTGAGCTAGTCAACTTTGATTACTTTCGGTGT